GAGGCGGGGCGGGCCCTGGGCGCCGTGCTCGAGGAGCTGCGGCAGACGCGAGCGGACCTCCGCGCCGTGCAGGGCTGGGCGGCCGGGCGCTGGCTGCCCGCAGGTAAGGACCCTGCGGCTTTGTTCTCGGAGCGCTCTGCGGGAAGCCAAGTCAGGCAACCCGCTGGGGGACGCTTTAATGGGGGAAACACACACATACGGACCTCTGCTTCTCCATGACGGTCAGAGAGCTCAGACACACCATGCTAGGCGGGAAAACTGGCTTTAAAAAGTATTCTCCAGCCCCGAGGAACCCAGAAGATCGCTGTGCACGCAACCACCATAGTCTTGAAATAGACAGCAAGGGCCCGTGACTGACACCCGATCCCACCAGGCGTCGCAGGAGCTCCCTTGACCGATTATAACCGTGACCTCTCTCAGTGGCCGGCTTCTCTCCGTTAGGGATTTCCACTTCTAACTTTAGCCTGTCTGCCTTTTGGGGGGAGCTCTGGTTCCTCGGGCTATTTCAGGCCCAGCCTAACTTTTAGAGACGTTTTCCAATCCCTGGGCCGGCCCCACCTCCCCGCTGTTGCTGAGCAAGAGACTTGGGGACGAAGCTGATCTCCCGGAGGGTTAGTGGAATTCCTGAGGGGTCCCCCAGACCCCGGAGGTCTGTAGAATTAGCGCGAGAGTGGAGGTCCGATGATCTGCGGCTTGGGATAAACCGGCGGTTGCGGGATCCACAGTGGAAGAGGCAGATGTGGGAGCCAGTTGGTACCCTGGCCCCACCCCAGGGATCTGGAGGATCACGGCCAAACAGGAGAGAGGCGGTGCAGACTAGATGCATCTTGCCAAAGTCCATGTGGTACTACTGGAATCTCCAAACACGTGTGGGCCCGAAATAATACATTTTAAAGATGGTTAAAAGAAATAGAGAAGATTTGGAGCCAAGTGACACTCCTTTAGAAAGCAAAATTTCTAAGAAATGGTGATGCAACCATCATTTGTCGTTTATATTAGAAAATCAGTGTCCTAGGTAAGAAAATATAACTTTTTTTTTTTTTTGTGAGGAAGATCAGCCCTGAGCTAACATCCATGCTAATCCTCCTTTTTGCTGAGGAAGACCGGCTCTGAGCTAACATCTATTGCCAATCTTCCTCCTCCTTTTTTCCCCCAAAGCCCCAGTAGATAGTTGCACATCCTTCTAGTTGCTGTATGTGGGACGCGGCCTCAGCATGGCCGAACAAGTGGTGCGTTGGTGCGCGCCCGGCATCCGAACCTGGGCTGCCAGTAGTACAGCGCCTTCACTTAACCGCTAAGCCCCACAGGGTCGGCCCTGTGGCTATTTTAATGGATGAAATTTCTTGTCTTTTGCAAACTAGGTATAGTCATTGTACATAGAACCAAAAAACTGAAGAATTATGCAATTTTCATCTTCACTTCTGAATACTAGTTAGAGCAGAAGAAAGATGTATTTCTGAATTCTAAAATGTTAATTTCTTATTACATCCAATATTACTTTACCCACATGCTTTGATTTCTCCTCCCTTGGTTTCCTGCCAGCTTGGCTCCTAAAGGATTTCTAATCATTCTGTTGTCGGCCTCCTAAGAACCTGGTTTTCATTTTGTTTGGTCTTTGATAATATAATCAGAAAAATCTATTAGTTAAAAGCCATTTCGTGTGACAGTTTCTGATATTTTAAAGATATGTCAAGAGACTCAATTACTGGTCCCCAAAAGAAGCCACAAAAACCCTGCCCCCATGCAGTTCCAGTCCATGAACTCACACAGCCAGCGCAGCCTGCAGAGGAAGCTGGGTCTCGGAGAGGCAATGGGGGAATGCTTTGGAATGCAATGCTGACCGCCTGGGCTTATTTAAACAGGAAATCAGTTAATTAGATTGCAGTAGGCGCCCTCTTGAACACTACTTTACTGAAACATTACAGAGAATATCTCAAATGCCCATGCATATGCTGATCTTTTGTTCCATGATCTTTGTTTGATTTAATTAATCCAGTTTGTTGATTTAAATGCACCTACCAATTTCATTTGAGGAAAAAAATCAATGTCTTATTAAAAATTAATTTTAAAAAATCTTCAAAAATTCAAATTATTCAGTAAAAAAGTTAATACCGAAGTGTGACAGGACCAATTTTGCGCTTTAGTATTGTAGTTACTTTTAGAGGATTTTCTGAATCTCACTATTTCTTTGACTATTACTAAAGGATAAGGTCCCCATCTGCTCCAGTTTTTCAGGACAGAGCCTAGCCCTCCGCCCCTTGCCCACGTTTAGCTTCGTTGACCACACTTTGCGTGGATGTTTGGTTCCTGCAAGTTCCATTCAACAGTTAGTCTTTAAATGCTCTGCGAGTTTGCTTTTCAAAGCTGTCTTATGGCAAATCTTCTTTAGGTTGTTATAAAGTGAATACTTAGCCCTAATTTAGATTAAAAAAAATTCTTTATCTGATCTTTCACACATAGATGAGGTTAGCATAAAGCAGAGCTCGCTTGTTAAAGGTTTTATCACGTGGTTTCCCAGAGACACCTGGAACGTCTTCACTTCAACATCTCCAGGTCCCTGAGTGGACACGTGACCTGGAGATGGACAGAGGTGGGAGTTTACTGAGCTCCCAACCCCCGAGTTTGAGAGTCTCCTTCTAAGTTCTTTAGCATGTTCTCCACCAGGCCCCTTGAAAGAAGTTTTCCTTAAAGTTTTTCTACTACTGTTTAAATGGTATTTATAAACATATGGACAAAGTAAGAGTTTTTAAGCATATCCTTGGTCTATGCAGCTCTTGAGGGCTACATACTTGTAGCTTACAGACTTGCAGAATATTAGAAGGAGAATGGAAGAGACTTTTACAGATAACTGTAAAGTTTGGAGAGGTTATGGGACGTATCAAAAGCTACACAGCTTACTAGTAGTAAAACAAACTGAATTTCAGCTCTTGTAGCCAAATCCAGGGGTCTTCTACCATTAAGAGGCAAGGCAGAGTGCTGGCTAAGGGTGTGGCCTCTGCAGCCAGAGTGCCCAAGTTCAAGCCCTGGTTTTACCACTGATCAGCTACATAAGCATAGCCAAGTGACTTAGGGCTTTATGCCTCAGTTTTCTCATCTGTAAAATGGGAATATTAACACTTTCTCTTAGGGTTGCTGTGAGGATTAAACGGATATATAAAGTGACTAGAATAGTATCTGGCACATAGTGAGTACTTGATGGGAGTTAGTCATCATTATTACACATTGTTGTCTTTCACAAGTAGTTTTCTACAAACTTTGCAAAGTTTACAAATATCTGAGAACATGTGGTATATTAAAGTGTGTTCAGCAACAACATGACTGTCCTAGAGTTTTGTTTAAAAATGCATGTTGATAATGGCTAAATGAGGTGAGCTAGGTCCATTGCATTTCACAAATTTTTTATTCTAGGAGCTTGGTGAAGTCAAGGAAACAGAAACAAGTTTGGCTTTAAGGTCCTGGAAATTACAGTGTCATTGTTTGAAGTTAAAGCATAGTGATTCAACATTTAAAAAAAAGTTGTAATAAAGAAAATAAGCTAATTGGGAGGGGAAGTCGTTATTAAAACGTAGTTTTCATTATTTTGTGGGTTTGGACAGTTTGGCTCCTCTGCACGCCTTCTTCTCCATTTAGCTGCTCATTGGGTAAGACCATTGCCTTCCTTATTCCTGTGGGCTTTGCTTTGCAGAGTCTACACTTGAGTCCCCTCAAGTCATAGCGTGATGCTGCATATAATTTTCAGTTGTAGTCATTAAAATGCCTAATGCCGGAATCATTTCTGAATAAATTTATGTTTTCTCTCATATTGTTCTTACTTTCTTGCTACTCTAGGTTGTGAAACAGCGATTTTATTCCCAATGCGTTCCAAGAAGATTTTTGGAAGTGTGCATCCCACGACACCATTGAAGCTTGAGTCTTTTAGCGCCTGCATTTGGGTCAAAGCCACAGATGTATTAAACAAAACCATCCTCTTTTCCTATGGCACAAAGAGGAATCCATACGAGATCCAGCTGTACCTCAGCTCTCAGTCCATAGTGTTTGTGGTGGGTGGAGAGGAGAACAAGCTCGTTGCTGATACTGTGATTTCCCTGGGAAGGTGGACCCATCTGTGCAGCACCTGGAATTCAGAGAAAGGGCGCGCGTCCTTGTGGGTAGACGGCGAGCTGGTGGCTTCCCCTGTCGAGATGGCCATAGGTCACGTTGTTCCCGAGGGAGGAATCCTGCAGATCGGCCAAGAAAAGAACGGCTGCTGTGTGGGCGGTGGTTTCAATGAAACATTAGCCTTTTCTGGAAGACTCACTGGCTTCAATATCTGGGATCGTGTTCTCAGCAATGAAGAGATAAGGGAGACTGGAGGAGCAGAGTCTTGTCACATCCAGGGAAATGTTGTTGGGTGGGGAGTCACAGAGATTCAGCCACATGGAGGAGCTCAGTATGTGTCGTAAGTGTTGTGAAACTCCACTGGAAGCCAAAGAGGGAAACTCACATTTTAAACATATGCCAGTTGGGAAGGTCTAAAAACCTCAAGGCATGTTAAAAACCCTTGAGACTAATGAAGGAGAGAGTTAAGATCCATCTTTATTTATCTTGGCAAAATTTGAATAAACAGTTGAAGGGAAGATGTTGGAGAAGGCTTTTGGGGATATTGTTACTAGAATTTATGCCGCGGTGCTTTCAGATTAATGCTGTGTCTTTGTCAGATATACTCTCAAATAATTAAAAAGGACCGTATCGTTGAACAGAAGGACAACTGTTTTACTTTTCTTTGGTTAATTTTGTTTTGGCCAGAGATGAATTTTACATTGGAAGAAGAATAAAATAACATTTGTTGTCCATTGTTCATTGTTATTGGTATGTACCTTATTACAAAAAAATGATGATAAAATGTATTTATACTACAATGTGACTTAACAATTACAAATGTAGTTTATGTGTTATAATTGAATGTCACTTTTTTGAGAAGATAGTTATATAAGTTATATTGTAAAATGGCTTTGTATTAATTTTATTAAGACTATTTTTGTAAAGCTCTACTGTAAATAAAATATTTTATAAAACTAGCCGGTGTCATCTAAACATAAATTTAATAGATGTTTTGGAGCAAATCTACAGTTTTGTTTTTTCACCTAAAGCAGGCAATTAGTTTTTGGATACTAATCTATTATGTAAATAGTAATAGTTAACATTGTTAGAAACAAACTATGGAGTTGTTTCAGCTTTGGCTTCCTATAGATCATAAGCAAAAAAGATAATCTTGCCTAAGTCAACTCATCTCTCTGGATTTTAGTTTTCTCAACTGAGAAACAAAGAATTGAGGAAATAATGATATCCAAGACTCTTCCAATTTGATGATTCTCCGAGCATGAACAACTGGCTGTCCTGTGTAACATGGAAAAACAAAGGAATTTTCAGAGTTCCCCAGATGCCCATGACGCCTGCAAGAGATGGCTTAGGACTGTTATTTGGGAGATCTAAGAATCTGGAAAAGAAACAGTGACCCTTGCCCTCAAAGCACACCCCATTCTTTTACCTATACACGAAGGAGAGGACAGTGAAGCTCCTTACCCCTACAGATGGGAGGTAACTCTACCACACTAGTGTCCTCCTGTACAGGCCGTGCAGGGCTGGAGAAGTGCATCACAAAGCCACTTCTGAACGTCAGTGGGAAATATCGTAGAACCACAGAGATGGTGCATCCACCTAAAGATAGGGCCTGAACAACCACAGGTCATCTGTTCATGAGGTTTGGAGAATAGGGCCAGGAGTAATTATCAAACCACATTTTGTTAATAACTAGCTGTGTGTCCTTAGACAAGTTACTTAACTCCTCTGGGACTTCTCAGTAAAAGGAGGGGTTGGATTCTCAGTGCCCTTCAGCAATAAAATCCCATGTATCTAGGAATCTTTGAGGATGCTCATGTTATCAGTATAGCTTCATCCCGCTCATGAGATCCACAAAACCTGGCTTATGGGTCTCTAAGGAAATCATTCACAGTTCTGAGGTGCTAGGCCAGTCTCAGACCCTTGGAGATCATGTAATTCAAAGTTGCAGGCCCAGCGGCCACATGCAAGGCCCTGTTTAGCCATTGTCTGTGTGACTTGAATGCTCTGCTGGAAGAAGAAATACCGGACCAACCTTCAGTGGTGAATTAGGCATGCTTTCAATTCCTTTCCACATTTCAGCATGAACTAGATCTGTTCAAGAGACCTAAGAGGATGCAGGCCAGGATATATGCAAACTCGTATGCTGACAGTGTTAAATGTAATGGAACTTTTAATTCTTTTTACAGGAATTACATGTTGAGGGCAGAGAAGAAACAAGAAAATAAAGTAATTCATGGGTTACAAAAGTAGAAATTTTATCTGCTACAAAAGTAAGTCTGGATAAGTATTCTAGGGACCTCTAATTGTTCCCTGATATCTATTCTCTTTCTTTTCCTAACTAACAGAGTTGTAGGTTTAATGGTACATGTGGCCATTCAGAGTCAAGTCTATATTTTCCAGCATCAATTGCAGCTAGGTGTGGCCATATGAGTAAGTTCTGGCTGACATTGAAATATTGAATGTGATTCCCTTCCCCATTCTCCTTCCAACTGATTGGAATATAGTAATGATGGTTGGAATTTCAGTAGCCATCTTAGACCATGAGATTCAGCCAAATGATATAGAAGGGTGGGTCTCTGATGTGAAGCTGCCTTGCCAGCCCTGGGCTCCCTGTCCCTGGACTTTTACATGAGAGAAAAATACATCTCTCTCTTCTTTAATCCACTGTTGGTTGACCACCTAATCTAATGCTAATCCAGTAGAGCAATTTTTTTTAATTAAAAAGACCATGCACTTTATTCCGGCAAAACAGTCATGGTCTATACTTAGAAAATGTGTTTTACAAATTCTCAGGAATTAGCTATCTGACTTTTCTTTTTACTAACTAATAACATTTAATGAGTTTTGGAATACACAGTGTCAGCAAAAGGACGCAGTCAGAAACGTGTAAAACTGAGGTGGGTTATCCAAAAAGAGACAGCAGCATGTTGGCCTGCTTTAGCACACTGGCAAAGAGGTCATTCACCAGAATCGTGGCTGAGGGCATTACGATATTAGGGCATGGGAAATAATGGTTCAACACGACTCGAGTTAGGAGGAGGAACAATATGTGTGTGACCAATGATAATACTTTATATACATATGTATATGCATTTACAGCGTTATGTGTGTGTGCTAGAGTGACCAGCTGTCCTGGCTGGCCTAGGGCCATCCCAGCCTTAGCACTGAGAGTCCTGTGTCCCTGGAAACCCTTCAGTTCCAGGCAAATTGGGAGAGTTTATCACTTTGTCACTCTAGTACATACTTATGTATGTCAGTAGAGGAACGTTTCTGCAGAGATAGTATATGAACAAAACAGAATTGATATATTTTCCTTGTCTATTACAATATAGATTGGCTTTTAATCAAGTATTAATTACTTTAAAATATATCAACAATATTTGACTACTAAGTTTATATTGTAGAATTTTAGAGCTTGGTATTTACAATTACTTAATTAACTTCACTTTAACAAAGAATTAGATATGAAAACAAAGAAGAAATTGTAACTGATTTTTATTTTATCTCTTGTTAAATTTTATATCAGAAAGCTTACTAAGAAGCATACTAAGGCCAAATGTTTCCAAAACTGTCTTTTAGACACTTGAGAAATAACACTCATAAAGTTAAAAATCTTGGTCAAAGTAATTGTATACATTCACTTATATATTCCTGGATTCAGTAAACTTGAAAACTTAGATCGCTGACCCTTGCATTCAAATCTGGGTGTTTTATAAATCCAGAGTGTAGAAGAGAGCTTGCTGGGCTTAGGGTCAGAAATCGAGCATTCAAATCTTAGCACCATCACCTACTAACTGTAAGAAGTTGGGCTTGCCAACTATGAGTTTCAAATTAGCCAAGAAATTAGGGCTAACAGGACTTGCCTTCCTTGCTGAAGGGTTATTATGAAAATGACATAAAAACAGATAGTGTGTCTAAAAGAGCTTTCTAAACCATAAAATAATATTTGAAATAAAATAGTTAATCTTAAAAATGTTTTTCCAAGTTGTTCCCAGTGGATTAAATAAAAAATAAGCAAATAAATAAGAATATAAACAAACATGAAGATTCCCTTACGTTGTGGGTAAGTCATTCTCAGAGTCCAGCACTGGATGCTCATATCCGTGCAGGCCGTATTCTACTTCACAGCAGCACCTGCTGGTGGAGGCCAGAAGCTGCAAACCCTGGCACACATCTGATCTGAGATTTAGGTAGCTTTTTAGAAGACGTCCTTTCCTGTTTCAAGACGTGTCTCTATTTCTTGATCCACATTGGGCTGGCTTTTTACAACATTATGTTTAATAATTCCCTATGTGTATTAATATTCAGGTTGAATATTCTTAATAAGATTGCTTAGGAGCCTGTTTCCTAGAATATTTGATTAATAAATTCTTTCCCAGCAACCTCTAATATGGTGGACTTAAAACCTTTTCCTTTAAGAGTAGTTGTATCATGAATTTTTAATGGCCAATTATCTCCCAGGGATTATGAAACTCCACAAATGGATATGGTTCGGCCTTCAGTATTTTCATATGGGTCTGGCATATGGCATATGATACTCTATTAGTGATGACACCAACGATGATGATGACAAGGATGATATTAAGAAGAATCATAGTAACCATGATGAACTACGGGTCCGGCATTGTGTGAAGTATGGCTGCTTTATTTATTTAAGCCTCACATCTACCCTATGTGGTACATATTATTACTGCCATAATAAATGGTGGTCAGTTTTCTATCTCCATTTTTTCTGAGACAGCTCACCAATCAGTGGTTTAAATTTTATCTCCCATTGAGAAAGAAATGAGGTGAATTTATCATAATTAACTAGACAGTCTAGTTTCTAGGCTATTGCCAATAAGTCAGAAAGGAATTCGGACTCTTGCTGAGACAATATTACATTTTCTCTCCAAAGACTTTCTATTTAACTTTCAAATCATTTGAGGTCACCTTGTTACTTGTGCCAGAGGACTATGTAAAAGGCATGTTGACAGAAAGCCATATTTCCTTATTGTGACCACTGATTCAGGAATGCAGAGGAAGGGATACCACTGCTTTCGTTTTGATGGCAGTGCTGTGCATTGCATCACTGACTTCCAAAGCAAAATCTGGAGAGAGTCTCCCCGCAAGCCCTCAAACAATCCCTTATGTTTGGAGATACCCTCATTTTAGGGGTTTTCAATAGTACTGTAAACTTCTTGGGTGAAAGATGTGGTAACTCACACTGCACTAATCATTAGTCATGCTTTTATATTCCAATACTGGACAGGTTCTACAGAGCATCTTCACGTGGCAAAGAACAAATCTGGAGAATTACTCGGGACCACTGAAAAACAACTCTCCCACTCTGAAAAGGTTTTGTTATAAAATATTAAATTACCTCTGATATGATTCAAGCAGAAAAAAAATTCATTACCCAAGTGACATCCTGTCTTATCTTTTAACTCAAGGGGAAGCATTCAATATTTCCCCATTAAGTATGATTTTAGTTGTAGGTTTTTTGTAGATATCTTTTATTAAATTAAGGATGTTCCCTTCTATTGCTAGTTTGCCAAGAGACCTTTTTTTTTA